TTGGATACAATCTTTAAATACAACATCTTCTTAACAATTTGTAAAAGAGTAGGTGCAAACGATAGTGAAGAAGGAGAAAGAAACAGAGCAATAATTAATGATATGTATGCTGACTTTTGGGAAAATACATTGCCAATAAATGACATCATACCCAAATATGTTGAAATCACTGATGATATAATGGCATCAGAGCATAACATTGCTTATACTAATTTAAGGTGTCGGTCTGTCTCCAATGAAATCCGGGACAGATTAGACATAAGTGAGAAATATGTAGTGGGTGATATGTTAATTGCCAGAAAATGGATTAAACAACCACGGGTAAATGTCAATTTAAGATACAGGATTACACATATAGAAGATGATGAATTAGGAAAACAAATAACATTACAAAACATAGCAAATGAAGAAGATGAATTTATGTTATTTGAACCTGTGGTTGATGCTAACTTTATATATTCATACTGTGCCACATGTCATTCATCACAGGGAGCAAGTGTAAAAGAAAGCATCAGTATTCATGAATGGAATTTATCATTTGTATCCAGAGAGTTTTTATGGACGGCAATTACAAGGTGCGTTGATTTCAGAAAAGTCAGATTTTTCAAGAATGATGACTTTGATAAACAAATGGATAAAAATATGATAATGAGATATTTTCAGAATAAAGTAGAACATTACAAGATACAGGACCGTCGCGCTCAAAGAGAAATTAATGAGGAAGAATACATAAGTGCTGAGTGGTGCTTACAACAGTTTCGTGCCAGATGCCAAAAGTGTAATAGTCCGTTTAATTTTGAAACAAAGCAAGGTAAATGATGTAGTAATTTTACAGCACAAAGGTTATGTAATTTTCGTCCGCATGAAGTGGATAACTGTATTGCCTACTGCGTCTATTGTAATGTATCAGCACATTAAGATTTTAATATTGTTTATATTAAAATCTTAGTTTTAGACTAAGAAAGGTTTAAAGAAATAATACCTATATATAGTAGAGAGTAATGAAGGAACAAGAAGTAAATAATTATATCAATAAGAAATGCTATGACTGTTGCCACTTCAAAAAAGAACATATGGAATTATACAAAATGAATTTACCTAATGGAATAGCTAATAATATTATTGATTATGCTTTGGGTAAAGAAGATGAATGTAAAATTTGTCAGGAATGGAGAGATAATCAAGAATTAATCAGATATCATTTAAACCTGGAAAGAAAAAGTAATAGACATATTGGAGATGAAATTTGATATTGTTAAATGTGTATGAAAGACCACCTTATAGTTATGTTAGAATATTTCTCAAAATCGGTAAGAAAAAGTATGAAATAATTAACCACATATTATGGATGTTGTTGCATCGTAGGAGAGACGGGTCTGATTTAAAAGGAGACATTAAATCATATATTGAAAGCAAACAGTTTAATGTGAAAAATACCGTGAGAGCTATTAATATTATTATTAAAATGATGTATGAAAGACGTAAGATATATACACAATTTAATAATCATCAATTAACTTATTATCCTGAATTTAAATTATAAATAATATTATCAATATAATAAATCTTAATTTATTATATGGATAAACAAAAAATAATTAGTGATAGTTATTATGATAAAAGCGGTTATGGCAGTAAAGGAATAACGTTGAAAGATGCCAGACAGAAAGATAAAACTATTACTATGAGTGATGTAAATGAATTCTTTAAAAATAATGTTGAGGAAAAAAGGAAAATGCGAGGGCAGAATAGTTTTGTTGCTCCACACTCATTTTGGGAATTCCAGTTGGATTTGTTTTTTATTTCTAAAAATGATTTGGAAAAGCAAAAGTTTAGAATTGGATTGATATTAATTGATATATTTAGTAAATATGCTACTGTAATACCTATTTCAAGTAAGCAACCGCCAGACGTATTAGCAGGAATAATGGAAGGCATTCAGAAAATGGGCGGAAAACCCAAAATGATATACAGCGACGAAGAAGGCAGTTTATTTAGTTCTACCATTACAGATTATCTTGATGAGGAAAAAATTGAATTACACACCACGAGAGGCCACCCTGCTTTTGGAGAAAGATTTAGTAGAACCTTTAAGGATATGCTTTTTAAAAGAGTTGATGCGGATGAAAAGAAAGGTAAAAACAATATACAATGGATAGATTATACAATAGAAATTTTAATAACTTACAATAATAAATTAGTAAGTTCCGTTACGAAAATGACACCATTAGAAGCAAGGAAGAAAAAGAATGAGTTTGAAGTGAAACTGAATATATCAATGAATGCCAGAAAAACCCGTGTGTATCCTGATTTAGATGTAGGGGACAAAGTCAAGATAATGAGAAAGAAAGCGATTAGCGAGAAAGAGAGAACCAGTCATTGGTTAAGGACAGTCCATACAATAACTAAGATAGAAACTAAATTAGGACAAAAATATTATTCTGTTAGTGATTTTCCCAAACCTCTATTGCGACATGAAATGTTGAAATTATAGTTTTAGACTAAAAAGGTTTAAAGAAATAATACCTATATATATTAGTGAGAATGGAAATTGATAAATTACCTGTTGAAATATTGAGCAATATAAATTCCTTTAAATTTGGCAAACCCGAGTATATAAAAATAAAAAGTTGTCATAACGAAGCATTGAGAAGAATACAGACCAATTACAAAATTAAAACAACTGAACCACAAACAATATACAAATACCTAAAACTAATAAATGGAGGAACACAGAAACAAGTTAAAAGGGAATATGATATTGAAAGAAGAGTGCCATTTGGAATGGACAGCATTGAAAGTATTATCAACAAGCAAAAAGATGAGTTATTAAGTTTAATCTATGAAGACGTAGAAGATAATACTGATTTTCAAGTCAAATTAGATGTGTTTTTAGACATAAGAGTAAGGATTAGTGAGCGAGAATGTAAAGAAGGCATGTTTTCAAGTTTAAGCATAAGTTTCTGTCCTTATGAAATGAATGAAGATAATTACATAAACATAAATGAACACAATATTAACAAAGTGTTGAGTGAAGCAGTCAAACATTTGAAGAACGGCATTCAAAATTTGCACCAGTGTTTTTACTGTTTTGGCATACAATCATTTGGTTTCAGACTAATCATTGAAGAAGATGTTTAAATAACAGCATTGTTAAGATAATTTGTTATTATCTTAAACATGTTGATATTTTGGACTTTGTTATGTTCCTTGTTTGGTTTGTTGTGTGGTTTGTTGTTTGGTGGTTTTTTCTATGAGGGTCTTACCCAGACCTCGTTATGGATTATGTCTAAAACTATTTAAAGGGTGGATTGCTTATTATAGTAGAAGATTATGGAAAGGACATATTGCGCGTGTTGTGGATGTCATAAGGATGGACATTTGTTTACCGATAGTTGTAAAACTTGTGATAGATGCCGTGAAAGGCAGAAAATGAAAGACCAAAGAAAGAGACTGAAAAACGCCGCGGATAAGAAACAGAAACAAATAGAAAAAGGAGAAAAACAATACTGCACACATTGTAAGATGAATAGAAAGATTGGGTTATTTTCGGAAAATCATAAAACTTGTGATTTGTGTAGAGAAAAAATGAAAATCTACTCGCAGACATGGAGAGATAATCATAAAGAGGAGATACGAGAAATAAACAAAGACTATGGCATGAACATATTTGTGTGCTCTGTTTGTGATTGTAAGGTTAGATTGAAACATAAGGCGAGGCATGAAAAAACAAAGAAGCACATTGATAATTTAAAAAGAATGAGGTTGAGGATAATTGAAATGGTCTGAAATGGTTTAAGTTATTCTTGAAAAATGAATAACTTGAAACATTTTATGATTGTTTATATGGGTTTTGGTGAGTGGATTGATAAATTATGTTGGGCGGGAGTTGAAAAAAAAAGGGTAGATGAGGTCTGGGTAAGCTACCGCTTGCTCCAATACCATATTGGGGGGGGGGTAGCAACACGGAACACGGGACCATATATAGGCCTTCCTATACTGCCTTCAGCAGGTATATACAGCCTACTGAATCGAGAACCACAGTACAACCTGTCGCATCATAGCCATCGCTTTCCAGGGCCGAGTACAATAGTCTACAACTGTATTCCAGGTCATACTATAAACTTACTTGCCCAAAGGACCTGGACATACAAGGTGATTTGCTTTGGGGGCCACAAAGCATGGACCAAATCAGGGCAACCAATAAGGTGACAAGGTCGATTAGCGTTGGGGCAACGGAGTAAATAAGTAGTTGAACCAAGTAGCAAAATGGCCCCAGGATACGGCGCATGGCCCCCATGCGCCATCGGGGAAAAAGGCACATCCTGATTTCTGTTTGAAGCCACCCCCTTGCAAAAATTGAAACCACCCCGCAACAAAGGGACCCCCCCCAATATGCAATATGGGTTCAAATCAAATGGAAACCACTTCCAAAAACGAAAGGAAGCACCCCCCCCAGTTCTGGACCACGATGGCCGGACCTGAAACTCGGTGTGGTAAGCCGATTTTGGGCTTTAAGCCCCATGAAACCAGGTAGAACATGTAGAACCCATAACTCATACCAAGGGATATGTTTTGGTGGCGTTTTGCTGGCTGAGCTTGAAGCTTAAAGCTCGCTGGGTGACCCCTTCCATACAATCATCTCCTCCCCGAACCCCTTGCCGCGAGGTTAACGCAAGAAGGCCGTACTTTCATCCACTCAACAGGTAGAACCAGTAAACGCGAAAGATGCACACCACTAATTATATCTTGGGCCAAGATCTGACTCTGCTTCATAGGGAACCCCTAACCTTGAACACACTGTGGATGGACGAAATCCTGCACCGAAGAAACCCTAGAATGATGCTTCTGTAACTACCAACTTGCACAATGGTTTCAACCATGGTTTCAAGCCGTGGAGCGAACGGATTTCGTCCATCAGTAGCTTTGAACCCGTTCTGCCCGGCCGAAAACATGCTGCACTGTGCATTTCCAGGCGACGCGTCGATGCCAAGTCGCGACTACCGGGCGAAACTTCGCAGGAGCTCAATAGCCTTGACCACCTCCGGATCCTCCTTGCCTAGCGGAACGGACAAGGCAATGCATGTGGGAATTTATGTCCGCCACAACTCTAAAAAATCATGCTCCAACGACTTCGGGCAGTCTTGGCGCAGGTGTTGTGCTACTTTTGTCATATCATGTTTTGCCGGTCAAAAACGGCCACATGGGGGGCCCAGCATTTTCTCCAAAAACCAGGACTTGAAACCAACAATTCCTGGTTCCCTCCATCTTTGCCCTTCAAGCAACAAGTCTTTGCCGGATCAGTGCAAAGTCTAAGATGTACACTGCCCGCAAACCCCTGCGGGCCTCACCCTTTTTCAGGTCGCTTATCAAATTAAACCATTCGGGGTAGTGGTTTGGAGGTAGAGGGAACGGAACATTTAGTGCTGCAAACATTTTTTGTGCGTCCTGCTTTCTCTGCGACTTGCGGTTCCTTTTTGCCAGGGCGCAGGGCGAGATCGTGATGAGCCAGGCGAAGTTCATTTGTTCCTCGCAAGGCGTTCGTCTTTCACCGACGGTTACCTCTGAAAGCACTAAAACAATGTAAAACGATCCAGGGAGGACTCGAACCTCCATGATTTGCCTGGATCTGCTGCAAACAATGGTTACCACCCAGATGGCCATCATAGGAGAAGCAAGCTTTCGAAAAACAGTTCGATGATACGCAAGGCTGTTGTGCCAAAGACATTCTAAATGAACATGTTGTACAGTGTCAGTTCGGGCTTAACTTGCATCCCAGAATCCAAGGCAGCGGTGAAGTGCTGTGGCAGGTGCTCTGGAGCCTCGCGACGGCCCAAAGTTTGGTCGCCGGAACAAGCACGGAGGCGAGTTTTGGGGGGGCACTTGCCAGATTTAAGGGGGGGGTGGTTGCCAGGAAAAGGAAAAAGGTGATCATGTTTTAGGAACCACTAAAAATGGACCAAAGGGAAGCCACAAGAATCACCAAAAGGTCGATTCGCTGCGCTTTGGCGTTTGCTGGCTGTTGTTGAGGAAACTGTGTAATGTGTGTGTGTGTGTCCCTTTAAGCCAGGGTGATAACAGTACGCTCATATCAGGGGACCGCAGGTTTTAGTCCTTGGTTCCATTTACCAGGGTTCCATTTTGGGTACCTATTTTTGACCCACACCCATATGGCTTTGCCGGCTTTCACCGAATTTTTGGGGCAGATCCCCGGTCAGAGGGACACGTGGGGCTACCCTTCAATGAACGTGGAACCCAGCAGGGGGATCCCTTCAAAGGAACATGGTCTTCCAGGACGCCCTAGTCAGGTTCCGTGTTAGTGGACGGAGGGTTCCCCGCCCCATGAAGTTTGTTCGGGAATCCAAAAGTGGTTGGTGGACATGGATCCCTTCAAAGGATGGGGGGGTCCATAACACACACACAGAGCGCTGTGCCCATCTGCAACCCAGGGCTTTCCCTTGGGAATCAACCCATCTAAGCTGCGCTCAGCACATTTCCATTGGGGGAACAAGGATCGACAAGCACTCGTTTTGGGGGTTGATTTTAAAGGGACCCCCCTCCAACAAAAAAAAGCAAGAATTGATTTGCGCAGGAGGCCAACTTGGTCAAACCATGGGCGTCTTCTTTCAGGGATCCCATTGGCTTAAAAGCAGGGAAACCAACAGAAAAAACCGACCCTTTTGAGACGCGGTCCAAACCAAAAACTTGGGAAACCAATACATTCTACAACCACCCATATCTCATGGAATGAGAACTGCAATTACTTTTTGCTCAGGGAATGAGAAATGGAATGACCCCCTATTAAAACAACTTGTCGTGGCTTCCTTGAAGGGAATCCCACGGTTCATTCGTAGCACCCGCGAAAGAAACCCCACTCATTTCAAAGCTCGGCGGCTTTCTCTGCAAAAAGTTCAACTTTTGGGTGGTTTAATTTGGAAAACCCATGAGTTGGCCAAAAAATACCAAGTCCTAACATCCAAGCTTCTGATGTATCTTTCGATCGAAATCCGCGCCTTGACGCCGCCCAAGACCTCCAGTTGCTTCTCCACCAGCTCCACCACCTCCGAAGTCGACTTTTTTGTTGTTGTTGAATTTCTTTTTTTTTCTTTTTCCATTTTTGTTGCTTTATCAACTGCTGGGGTCCGTGTGTCGTGTGTGTGTGTGTCTGTGCGTGTTGTGCTTTCTTCGTTGTTGGGGGTGCCTGGGGTTCCAATTTGGGATTTTGGGGGGGTTCGGTTCAACGGGAAGCTTAAAAGAAAAAAAACTTGTTTAGGGGTGCCCTAGGCCCTACTTTGATCCATACCCAGTGGGTTCCTTTTGGGTAAGACACGGGTATGCTGTTTGAGGGTACCTGTTAGGTGAGTTTAAACTGGAAACATCGAAAGTGAGATCCCTAATCAGGTTGTGTCGTCCTTGTTAGGGGCGTGTTTTGTTTGCTGCGGCTTTAATAGGTCACCAAAAGGAACAAGGAACAAACATAGTGTTGGGTAATTGACTAATGTTGACCCCAGATCAATAAACCGGTTATATGATATATGAATAGGTCGTGTTCCCCTCCAATAGTGACAAGTCCCCACTAAAAGGGGGACACACCCCAATATTAAGAAGCTGATTTTTGTTGTTTTTTAACCAGGGATAACATTGTATACTGTATTTTAATACACACTCACAGCGGAACTGCCAAATGCCTTGTATCGACTGGGGTGCTTTTGACCATCCTTGGCAATGTGAGGTACCTCCAAAAACTATGGGGTCAGATACGGCTTATTCAGCCTACCCTAAAATCTAAACAAACGAGAAGACCCCTTTTGGGGGGGGGGGGAGGCATCGAGGGTACGGAGGAGAGCTCTAAAAAATTCCATCAAATCAGAGAAGTCCCACTTTTTTCCAAAGCGGCGATTTCCCATCTGGGGTACTTCGCCCACATCTGGATTGCTCGGTGTCCTCTTGCCCAAAACACACACACACACACCATTCTTTGGGGGGTACCAACCCCGACAAAGAAACAACAGCACACACACACACACATATTTTTTTGGGGGGGGGTCCATCTCCCATGCCTTGACACGACCTTGTATTTTGCCCCAAAGAACCAGCACCACTATTTTGTTGGAGTGGGGGGGGTCAGTCCATCTGGCCACGTCGGCATGTTGGCGGGGGGGGGGGCGTCGGCGCCCCCGCCTCATAGGCCTGGGAGGACATCTGGGCGGCCTTCACACGCAGCTGGGGCAGCAGAACCTGTGGTCTCCATTTCGGCGGCGGTTCAGGTCGGCTGAAAGGGAACCCCGTTCGTTCCGTTTTTCAAGACGGGTACTGACCGTGGTCTCTTTTTGAGGCGGTCAAAGCGAAACACCAAGCTGACGAAGAGGCGAACAAGCTGAGGAAAGGGATGGCTGGAACCACCAAGTCAGGTAGGTTGGGAAGCCAAAGGAAAAGTAAGCTTTGGCGCATTTTGGGACCAGATCCCGTTTTTACAAACATTTTTGGGCCAGATCCCATTTACCATGGAAAACCTGGTTCTTCAAGACATGCCCTGAACAAGCGCGGATATTTGGAGCAGGGGGTAAGCAGGATTTGCTTGGGTTTGGGGTTCCTTTGGGTCTACCGAGTTCACCACCTCTTCTTTGGGCTTCCATTTTCTGTGGGTCCCAAACAAATCAGGTGGAAAAGGTTCGAAGACATCCCCTGAACAACTGGGTCTACTTTGGGTGCAAGAGTTGCGATCCCTGGAAGGCTTGGGTTGGTATGTTAGAACAAAGTCGCTCTTTACAGCCCGCCGATAAAAATGACTGAACAAAAAAACGACAAAAAGCAACAGCTTGCCGAGAGCAGTGAAGACCTCGCACCGCTCACTGGCCAAAAGATAAGGGCGAATGAGTGGCCCTTCAAATGCAAAAAACAACAGAGATCCCGGTAAACCCCTAAACAATAGAAGTTCAAACTGTTCTCAGCCGTTTAGGATTCACCAAACAATGACATTGGTTTTGTGGCCCAAACAGGCAGCAACTCCCAAAGTCGCAAGTTTCTAGAAGGCGGCTCATGAAAGCTTTGCGTTGACAAATACAAGTCTCTGCATGGGCTTGACATGGCTACCAGCTGCGTGTGCCTGAGTGAAAAGGAAACCCAAAGGCAACCAACCAGGAAGAGTAGCTCATGAGACACCCAGCACTTCGCCCACATCAAAACTGGCTACGCCGAACATATCATTTGTCTGGCTCTCCATACTTGGTCTACCCCAAACTGAAGGAGACTCTCCATATCTCGGTTGCTTTCTGCTCCCCTGCTGAAAGTTTTTAACGTTCAGTGGTCTAATTTGGAAAACCCATGAGTGGGCAAAAAGTGGTTCCGTCCCAACATTCCTTGGCAAAATGCACCAAAGATACCAAAGATATGTGGTCTACCTGATCTGAAGGAGACCCAGCATCCAAGCCGCCGTGAGCGTCTCTTGGTCATTCAGGGACCGGAGAAACTCGCGCTGCCTGCGAGCCATGCCTTGGAATCCTGAAGCAAACCCCCCCGTGGAGACAAACTCTCCAGGGTTTTTGAATTACCTGGGAATACACTTGGTATTGACCCCATTTAGGCACATGTCCGGACATGGGATTACAGGGTGTAATACAAAAAACCCTCAGACAAACATAATGGCAACCTGGGATTGATCAACCCCCAGTTGATTTGTAGGTGGCGTGTTTGGGGGTAGGAACAGTCTTGCGACCAGTGGCCATGCTAAAAACCGCGTTTTGGATTGAAAATGCTTAGTGGGAACCCCCCAAACGGCCTCTGAACACTTAGGAATCCCAGAGAGGATTCCAAACTCTCTGTTGCCTCTCAAGCGGGTCGGGAAGGTTTTCTGGCAGCCCATGGAAAAAAACAACATGGAACTCTCTGAAGAAAATGTCTTGGTGTTTCACCACAACAACTCCGAGTCCCACAAAATGTCCCAAACCCATGGTTGTGGAAACCACCCGTTCTGATACCAGCATGGTTGGTCCTGGTATCACAGAAAGTGGCCCTACCAAATTGTTGCAACCCAATCCAAAGCGAATGTTCTCAGTCCCTCAAGGGCCCATGAGAAGAAAGGCACCCGTGTTGATGGCTGATTCTTGCGGGGGGTTCCCCCTAAAGCAAAGTTGAAGAAGCAAAAAATGCCACCACCAGGGTTCCCAACTTCCCCCTTCAAACATCACCACGCCAAGATTATCATATTCCCTCAAACTGGCCCAAAGATGATGCTGAACCTAAAACCATCCCTTCGATTTCGTCTTAAACTTAGGGTTGGCCTGTGAGCCAACCCCTTTTCGGGGTGTCCCTACTGTGGATGGACGAAATCCATTTCGCACTACTCTGAAACCATGGAAACCATTGTTTGTTGGCATTTGCACGGGAATCCTCCTTCCAGGGTTTCCTAGGTGGTGCAGCAGGTTGTCCATAGCAAGACCACCCAACGCCCAAAAAGAAAACTCCAGTCTCGCCTCTTGTCGAAGTTGGAGCGCCTCTGCGGGTGCCTCGGGATTTGAGGGACACCTCTGCCCTGTTCCTTGGATTGGTTCACCAATGCAACAGTTTGAGTTGACGGGCCTGATTATTTTACCATAATACAGGTCACCCCCCTAAGTGGTGGGATAAAGGGAAGCAGTCCCATTTTCTGACTGTGATGACCCCCATAAACCGTCAACATAATGAGCCCAGGTTGAATTTGCTGGGTTCCAGCCGCACACTCAAAGACCAGACATGGATCTGTCTCATGAAACTCTAAGAGGATCCGAAGGAAACCAACTGTCTGAAAGGGTCCCTCATTTTGACACACACGCAAAACAATGAAAGCTTGAAGCGTCGTCTTTGGACAAGTGAGCAAGGGTATCCATTTCTTTGCCAAAAAACCTCCGAGGGGGTTTACCGCGAGTGAGAGTTGTTGTTCCAACCTGTACAGCTGAACTGTCTGGTCTGCCCGAATTGGGGCACTCAGTTGAAGCACCCGCCGAGTGCTCCAGACCCACTGTGTAGATCCTCAAGAATGGGAATGGGGTTGTGGGGCACGTTGAAACCCAATGTGTTTTGCTTTGAGTTTCCTTTCAAACAAATCCCAAGTGGATACAGATTTACAAGAAAGTCATTCGAATGATTTGATTCTAATGTTAAGATGGAAACACACAGCAACAAAAACATAACATCAAGACATCCGGTGCCCATGGGGAAAACGAGCACACTTCTTTCAGTTCCACCCCCCCCGACTGAAAAGACGTTGAACATAAGCCCAGGCGATATTCCCAGCAGCAAGCCCGATAGCCATTGATCGGATAGGCCTATCCACCGCAAAGTTGAAACGGATTGCCGCACTGCAGGTCTGAACTATGTTTGACGGGTAAGGCGTAAAAATGTCCTACCCCCGACCTCAGGGGTCAGGGGCCAAAAAAAAAGACACCTCGGGGCGGAGCTGAGAATTGTGGGATCGAAAACAACCCGAAATGGGATTCCGTCGGTTGCCCTTTCGAACTTCCCAGGCTTTTTTGCAAGCGCCGGAAAAATCCCCGGGGGAAACTGCTGAGGCACGAGAGGTGGCAGTAGCTGCAGTTGCTGCCGTGCGGGCAGATCCTCACACATCGCAAAACCAAGCCTCGCCCCCCCTCTCGACCATCATTAGGCTGATAGAATCAGATCATCATGCGCCGTTCAATGATATTCGCCCCGGTTGCGCTTCCTGCGGTATGTCACGAGCCCCCTGCAGTGCCGGGGCTGGCAGTACAGCAAACCATTTCACCCCCAAACCACGTCCAGTCTCCCCATCCCCTAGTCCAACCCCAGCCTAGTCCATTCCACAAACAAGGAGTGTTTTGTTGTTTTTGACTTCGAAGTCGCATGCCAATTTTTGGGTGTCCTTGAAATACTGATGGACACAAACAACCTGAGCCAGACGAGATGAAGCGCCATGAATATGGTTCGATTTGTTGGGAACTGAAAACCAAGCGGGGTGTCTCCAAAATGGAACAACATTACAGGTGGCTTTCCTGCTGGCTTCCTCAAACCCAAAAAAATACTCAACAAAACGACACCCTGGCGTTTTCTCCCCCCCCCCCAAACACGACAAAAGCAGAAAGGGGGCTGCAGCCTAAATCAAAAGGCACAAAACCCATCAGGGCGATCTTCAAGGGATCCAACGGCTTCGAGCGATGTGGCTGGCTATCGCAGTGCACCAGAAACAAGCTTTCTCAACTTTTGTTGGCTCATCGGGATGAACATGTCATACCCAAGCAAAGCCACCGTGTTTTTTGGGGCAAGACAATGTTTTCACGCCCCCGGAGGGCCAAAGATCCAGAGCGCGGTACTTCGAGTGACTCAGGTGCCAAAAGAGCCGCACCTCCAAACCGATTAACCCGTGTCCAGGAGAAAAAATCGAGAATCGGCTCTCACAGGGAACCCCCTCTCAAACAAAGAACGGAGTCCGCTTCCCACTAACTGGTGGTTTGGGTTGGTGGTTTGGTGGTTGTTTCCCATTTACCCCCTACAAGAACCAGTTCAAATCCAAACTCCAAACCAATCCAAACCACCTGTGGGACAACTCCACGCGTTTGCTTGGGCGCGCACAAAAACGTGGCAGATGCAAGCCGAGGATCCCCCGATGGGCGGCCACATGCACGCAAGGCCTTTTGCAGAGCCAAGGATGCCCCACGCTGCCGGGGTTTACCTGGCGAATTGCACACACTCCCCAGGTGAATGTAGCTATTGCCTTACCCACCAAACAAACGCACGTAAATAAGCGAGTTGGTATCTGTCTTGCAAAATAACAAAAATGATAATAGTACTAACGGTCTTCCCTCAAAAGACTTGAAAGTGTTGTCGGCTCTTAAGATCCGGTTTGTGCACTGATCGACCTCCATAAATTTGACCTTTGTACCCAACAGGTTGGTCGAACATCTCGCACCCCCAACCCCCCGACCCGCCCCAGGCTGGCCATGAGCTTGGAAGCCAAAAACTCATTTCGAGTGCGGACTCCTTGGGTTCCATGCATGCGAACCTGTGATTTCTTCGGAGTTGCAGACCGTTTTGTGGGTTTTGAAGGGAAACCAAAGGGAAAGCCCATGGGCCATTCCGGCGGGAACCCAGAAGACTCGCTCACGTAAATCTGCAAGCTCGGCACTCCCGAACCAAAACGGCCATTGAACAGGTATCTTTCAGGGCTGCAGTTCAAGCTGGAGCTGTCTCTTGAGGGCACGGTCTTTGAGGTATCGCTACTCCTAAAACCTGATGGTTGATTCTAGCAAGATGTTGTAAACATGTCTATCAGCCTTACATTTGTTCTTCTTCAAACAAGTAGAATCACCTACTAAAGTCGCCAATGCGGGTTTCGGGCGCTCACTTGTTGAAGGTCAGGGACCCTTACTCCCCGCCAGGAGGGTCTCAAGGCCCAAGAAGGCAGTCAGAGGGGGTCTTGTGGTCTGTGCTTCTGGAGGGCTCCTGAAATCTGAAGGGTTGAAGACTGGAAGGTTTGGGCAAAAGTGCTCATAAACCTTCCTCTCGATCTGGGTTTGCTCAGAACTAGGAGAAGACGCTACTTACCCCTTTCACTTCTTGCCTTGTAGGTGCATCTGGAAATGGAGGTTCCACCCGCAGCCACTCCGCTTGTTTGGCTTTCAAATGGCTACAGATTTAGGAAACAAAATCTGGGTAGCACGTCTTTTTCTTGAGGGAACCCCGGTGCTTTTGAAGGGAGGCCAAGAGGAAACAGCTCCGCGCCATTTTGGGGGGTTCCAACCTAAAAAAGGGCATCGACCTCGCGTGTTGAAGGGCAGGAATTTCTCTGAGAAAGCCAGCTCCATCCGTCAGGCTTTCTGGGTTCCAGGATCCTGCCTGGCGACTCAACCCAATTCGGGCAGTGTAAAACGAGGAAATGCCCATGTAGGGCGCCTGGCTGGCTCACACATAGGCCTTCATGAAAAAAAGACTCTACTTGGCACCCTCCAAAGGAAGGAAGGCTGTGGAGGGATAATCTGGATATGAAAAATGAGGAAATATCAACTTCAGATTCATCCAGTACTGCAAAGCCCGAAATCATTCGGGTCGCGGTTGTTGAGCACTAGGACAGCAATGTAGGCCAAGTCTGTCTTATATCGCCGCATTTAAATCGAACTCTCTTACCCTTATTTAATCCCTAGTCCTTCATGATCATGGGACGTAACACCAAAGCTAACTCCAAAAAAGACCCCGTGTCCGAGCCCGAACGGCTTACACCCCGCGCCTCCGTTGCACTGTCGGAGTCCCCTGAAACGAGCTGACTCGAAAGCCGAAGAACAAACCTGGGGCTGACGTCTGTTCGAAGACAAAAAGTCCGGGTGTTTGTTCTGTTCCCAAATGGACGGCTCGCTTCCCATTGAGTGGTTCGGCCAAGAAAAGGCCACCAAACATTCCCAAACGTTGCATTTGCCAGGGTAATGGCCTTCCCAACAGCTGACCTTTCCAACTCAGAAAGTGAAAAGAGCGCCTTCGCCACCTGAACTTTCGCGTATGTTGAATGTTGAACGCACAGGACAATCCAACTGTTTCGCATTGCTGGTAAACATAAGTTCTACATACAAACACATCAAAACTGGCACAAGTGCCAAGGGACACCTCACTCACAATGGGCTCATGTGCTGGCTTGTGGTAGCGCATAATTACGTGCGCTTACATGCGAGATTTAGCGGGTTCTCCGCCTTGAGCGCGCCGCAAGGGTTTTGTGTGGGCTTCGATGACTGCAAAGGCAAACAGGCATGATATTTATTTGACCTCTTGCCTCGAATTACTATGCCGTAGCCATATCTTGTATGGATTCTAAAGTCACGTGTTCCACCTGGAACGGTTTCCCTGTCTCTGAAAATGGGCTTTCTTTTAGCATCGCCTGAGGGAACCCCCCATATGAGGAAAGAAAGCTGGGAATTCCAAGTCCAAATGGATGGTTTGGATCGTGCTGAATGTCTGATTGAGTTGTGGTTCCAAATCATGGCGGCTGCAAACGACGTGACTTTGATCCGCTTAATGTGAACTTTTGAATTGAATTGTGTGTTTTAGACTACCCCAGCGCCTTTTTGTGGTCCAAGCACTGCCAATGGAGATTCAGACCCCCAAGGTGAAAAACCGAGGCTTCCCTACAAATAAACAAACAAGCAGGCAAGCAAACAAACAAACAAACAAACAAGCAAGCAAAAATGGCAACAGAACAACCAACGAAGCAAGCAAACAAACCAAACAAACCAAACAAACCAAACAAACCAAACACACCAAACAAACCAAACAAACATATATATTTTTACACGAAACAAACAAAGCAAAACAAAACAAAGCAAAACAAACAAACAAACAAACAACCAAACAAGCAAACAAAGACACAAGGTTTGCCCTGATTCCTCTCCTTTTTGCCACCCAGAGAAACTTCAGAAAATCGTGCCTCCGCTTGCGGTGGACTCACCACTGGACACATAGGCGGTGGCGGAGGCCGGGCAGAACCTGCAGCACTTGTGGACACCAAGCAGAGTTGTGGTTTCCGGGTCCGTGCCGGCGTTCTTCTTGCCAGAGATATGGCCATGGGTCAAAATCCAAATCGTACCCCCAGTGAACATCCCAACCCAACCACTAAAATAGGTTCTGCACCTACCCAAAAATGGTACCATTGGTTTTGACCCACAGCCATATAGCTTGCTGGTGCTCAGTAAGGCATGAGGGAATGAACCTTGGGATTCTCTTACAAAAAGAACACCAGTTGGATGGTTTATGGGGTTCATTCCCTCATTCCCTGCTGAGCACCAGCAAGTTTTTTCCAGAGATGTAATGTCTGTCCTTGGGGGGCCTTTTTCATCGTTGCAACCATGGCATCTATGGCGAGACATACCCATGACCTATGTGGGTTGATTATGTATAGATCTCTGGGTCTCGCATTTGTGTCGCCGATCGTGTGTGTTGCTCCCTTTCAGTAGGAACGCAAAGGGACCGGAAAATAACAAGTTAATCTTTGGAGCCTTGGCAAGAAAGAAGCCAAAGGACAACCAACAGATCTAGAGCTCGGCTTTGGGCAACCGAGGGGAACCAGGAGAAATTCACCAATTTGGGGGAATGGAGAAACATCCAAGTTGCCAGGGTAGCCGCTAAAGACCTAGGGTGCGTCAGCACTGCGTTCGGAGGTTGGACACCCTGAGCTTGGCTGGTACCCTTCCTGTGGGATCTTAAAAGGAACCAAAACCCCAACAGGTGCTCCTTTTTCTTAACTCCAGAACCCCAACAGTTGTTTTTATTGTTTCTTAAAAAACACGCAAACGCACACAAACAGGCAAACACAGAAACCGAAACCACGTGAACACGTTGCGGCCAGAGCCACGGTTTGGCGCTGCTGCGGATGGCGGTCCTCTTACGTCGACCTGCCAGGCCTGCAGGGAGTTCGAACCTCCAAATGGGGTCTTCTCATGTTAGGAACATGTATAATATATACTAGGTCCTCCCAAAAAAGGATAAACGTGCACCACTGGGAGACCCAGTATATACATATGGTACCCCCATGTGTGTTCTTTGATTTTTCTGCTTTTCCTTCTGTTGTGGTGTTTTTTTGGCTTGGCCCGGGGGGAAAAAACAAGGTCGTATGGAAGAGGAAAGAAACCAAGATCTTCTGGTACAAGGAAATGAAACCACAAAAGCCAGGAAACAATACAAACATGGAAAAAACAACAAACCAGGGGCTTCATGAAGAAGGGCCCCAAACCAGGAAAAAACAGCAAAACCAGCAAACCAAACCAGAAAAACAAGAAAAACCAGAGAAAAAAAGAACAGGGTCCTCCAGAAGAAGGGTGACCTCCATCATCTATCTCCTAGACTTGTTTTTGGTTCTTCTGGTGTTTCTGTATTTTTTCTTCTTGTTTTTTCTGGTTTGAGACCCTTCTTCATGAGGAGCTTGGTTTTTGTTTTGGTGTTTCTGGTTTTTCTGGTTTGGGGCCCTTCTTCATGAGGGCCCTGTTTTTGTTGTTTTTTTCTTCTGGTTTTTCTGGTTTGGGGCCCTTCTTCATGAGGACCCTAGTTGTTGTTGCTTTTTGTTGTTTGAAGGGATACATTTGAACAACCCAACAAGACTCAGGGAAAACCAAACAACAAAAACCACCAAGACCAAACCCATTTGGCAAAAACAACACTTCTCGTTGTTGCTTCTCGAGTTGTGCTTCTTGGCATATCCATAATTTGGGCAGGTTTGGTACTGCCATGATCAGGCCATCATGTTCACTGTTAAATTGGAATTCAACACTCCTTTTCAAGCTCCTGATGCAGCTCTTTCCAAGGCTCCTTAAAGAAGGCTCCTGGTCCGGCTCCTTTTCACGCTCGTTATAAGGCTCATTGCACAAGGCTCCGTATAGAACTCCTCAGAAGGCTCCGGTAAAGCTGCTTGTAGGACTCCTATTGAAGCTCCGTATGCAGCTCGTCTATGTCATGGCTCCATATAAGGATCGCATTATATAGCGCTTGCAAAGCTCCGTTTGAAGCTGACTTAGCTGCTTATAACACTGTTTGAATGAAGCTTCAAAATAAAGCTCCTCACGCGACTCATCATAAAGCTCTGCTTTTGGCTCCTTAAAGGCTCCTTGTACAATTCCTTGCGCAGATGCTTGTGCCGCTCCTTCTAAGGCTCATGAAAAAGCCCTTTATAAGGGTCATTGCAAAGCTGCATACAAGGCTCTGTATACAGCTTATAATGCACAGCTTGAAGTTCTTGTAAAGCTCCTGACACTCCTTGAAAAGCTGCTTATGGGGCTCCTTGTACAGCTCCTGTTAAAGCTCTGTACAAAGCTTCCCTTCAAAACTCCCTATAAGCCTCCTTATGTTGAACGAGAATGGAAGGAGAAGTCCTTTCCATATGTGATGTGAAACTAGCATTAACTAGCAGAACTTGCATATATGTGTTCTACACGAGTTCCGTTAGACTTCTATCTTCAGTCAGAAACTAAGTAAAGCGTCCTGTCCATGAACAGAACTTAGAAAGGGAATAATTCAGATATGCTTGCTGTATCAACTAGACCTTAAATCTAAATATATGTTAAATAATATGTAAATCAACATCGAATAAGAAATTGCAAGAACAAAACACATGCGGTTGAATGTCTATTCTAATTGAGGATTAAAATGGGAAGTACTTTCCAAATCGGACTTTAGTCAAAGACAATTGCCATGTAAATGGAAATTGAATATTTATGTTGATTGCTAATTTAAGCAGGAAATCCTTTCCAACCAGGATTTCGATCAAATTGAATTGCAGTTTGGCAAGCACGTGGAAAGGTAATGGATAGTAGTGGAGTGGAGCAGATTTGAAAATGTGGAAGATGGCAAATGAGCAGATGTGCAAAGCTATGGTAGCTTTTGAGTGGATTTGCAAAATGGCAGATGTGCAAAGGAGGAAAAGTGGATCATGGGTGGGGTGTGAGCATATTTATGTATATAGCAAGCGTGTGGGTCCGGGGGGGGGTCCCGGAGAGGGTCCTGCGGGGGGGGGGTAGCACATATATATATATATATATATATATATATATATATGTGTTTGCCCCCCCCCCCCCCCATAATATCCCTGTTGGTCCCCCCCCCCCCCCCCCCCCGAGATTGCCCCCCCCGGATCCTGTCACCCCCACCCTGAACTCCCAACCCACAACCAACCAACCCTAACCCCGAACCCTAAATACCCCCTAAACCAAACCCTAAACCGTAGACCTCTAAACCTAAACCAACCCTAAATCAACATAAACCAACCGTAAACTAACCCTAAACCAACCCTAAACTAACCCCAAATACACCCTAAACCAATCCCTAAACAATAAACCCTAAACCTAAGCCAACCCTAAACCAACCCTAAACTAACCCTAAACCAACCCTAAATACACCCTAAACCAAACCCTAAACCGTAAACCTAAACCAACCCTAAACCAACCCTAAATCAACATAAACCAACCCTAAACCAACCCTAAACTAACCCTAAATACACCCTAAATATACCCTAAACCAATTCTAAACCAACCCTAAACCACCACAACCCAACCACAGGACCACAACCACAGGGGGGGGGGTACTTGCCTGACCCATGACCATTGGTGGGGGGGGGGGGGCTGGCAACGCTGTACCATATATACATATACATATATATATATATATATTGAGCTGTACCATATTATATCATGGTGTCTTGGACTGTGTTGATTTCATGTTTTGTTGCAATTATGTGTTTTTTATTAGTTTATAACTAGTTGCATTCAAAATGGTGACCCCCTTTTGGTCGATGCTGACAAAGGAAACCAACACCCAATTTCCGTGGCCCACATCGGACGTACACAGAACATACTTTACTTGCTGACTCTGTTTCATATTTAGTCCCTTTGAAATATACAGTGGTTTGCGAGGAGACCCAGCAACATGACATAGAACTGGACTGGGGATCTCTTCTTTGTGGGTCAATTGGGAACATGGTCTATTGGTGGTCTTAGTTAAAACCATACTATAGTGGATCCATTTGTGCCCCCATTTTTAAGGGTACCTCTTTTGGGTGAGTTTGAAGGAACAACCAAAAGGAAAACCACCCTCTTTTTTTTGGGGGGGTGGCTTCACCTAAAAAAGGCACACTCATTCAAGGACAATGGGTTGAGCCTGAGATCCACAACGGGGCACGGGGCGAAAAACCACAACTTGTTGGAGTCTTTTCGATCCACCCGTTTTTGCGGCCAACCCACACACTGCGCACAACCGAAGGCTTCCCCTTTGGTCTCCCCTTTGGCAACCAGAGCTTGGTGGAGACACTTGTGCCCAACCCTTGGGAGTTCAGAATCTTCCAATTACCGAGCCCAAACCGCCATCTGACCAACGAGTCGAATCCTCCGGAGCATTTCCCCGAGTCGAGATCGCAGCTTCTCGTTTCTAGCCTAGGAAGACAACTCAGGGTGGCCATTGGAAAGGGAAGCCTTGCAGCTCAACTCCAACTCAGATGCCCGGCCACCCTCTTTTTGTTGAGCTTAAAGGGGAACCCTTCCCAATAAAAAGGATAGAAGGGCACCACTGGGTAACTGGGCCAACACCCTTCCCGTCCTCTGAAACCCTCCAGCCCCGCCTAACTGCACGAACTTGGGCTCGCACTCGAGCTCGTTGGCCCCATTGACCTGAGTTCGCGTCAACCCAGAGGACGCTCGCTTTACTGCAGAACCCAACATGTGATCGGCTCCCTAAGTCAACGTTTGGAAGGCTTCTCAACATGTCTTGGGGTGGTTTCCCATATGGATTTCGGGCGCATAGCGTGCTTCAAAATAAATGCCACTAACCAAAACAGCATAACTAAGCCGAGGAAATATTCCTGCAGCCCCCCCCCCCCCACACCTGCCCGGCTCCTCGTTGGTGTTCACGCGTTCAAACCCCAGTTGCCAGAAGAATCAACCTTTTGGGAGGAAAGCGTTCTTTCCGCTGGGGGGTTGGACCATTGCTCTCCCCATCTTTGGTTCTTGGTTGCTGTAACGACCCCTCTGCAAAAAGCTTATGACAGCCTCGAAAAAACAACATATCTCTAATTCTGCCAACCAAATTCAGCGAACTTCGAGCTGCAATTGCTTGAATTCAAAGGCATCCCATTTTTGTTTAGTGAAGTTGCCAGGGTGTGAATGTTCACAGGGGACATCATTCAGGTGGGCATTTGTGTCAAACCATTTTGGAGGGGTGTGAACATTTACTCACTGGCCCAAAGGACAAGAGGACAGATCAACTTGTTGGGACCTTGAGTAAACATGGACCAAAATGGGGAAGAAAAAAACAAGAGGTCTAAAGGTCGATTCGCCTTGGACAACTGAATTCATTGCCATCTCTCTTTTTGGGGGGAAATCCCCCGTCCCCTGAAACGACAAAAAAAACAACACCGCTGACGGCCAGCGGCATCGGGTCCGGATGTCATCTGGACGCCGCGCAGCTCAACCTGCGGGTGGGACAAACACTGCGAGTGGAAGGATACTTGACAAAGTTCAGATCCTGCTTCATGTTTGGTACGCAAAAAAAGAGTCTAGGAGACCCCAGCTTAGGGTTGGTCTGAGGTTTGGCTTGAAGCAAGTTGTGTTTCAGGGTGACTCATCATGGACCTGACTAAGCCTATGGAGGGAGATATATCCCTGGGATAAGCTTCAGCCAAGGAAGCCCCTAAGAGCTTCAGGGCTTAATGGGAGCTAGACCCCCTCCTCATATCCCCTCTTTGATGTCCATGCTGTAAAACTTGCGCCGAGCTCGCGCCTGACTCCAGGCTTGCTGCGAGTCATCTGCTCAAAGCTCTAGATGGTTCGTGTCTGCTACAAGGGCCCAAGGAGAAGTAGAACGGGATTGTGGTACTTCAAAAACCGAAAGTCATGACCGAAAAAGGAGAAATCATGTGTGTAACTATTGGGCGCCTTGCGTCAAATAAGCCCCAGTCAATGGTCATGTCCTCCATTCTTTCGAGGGATCCGTCATTTCAGAAAATGGATCAAAATGCAAGCCAAGAATCGTGCCTTTCCACAGGAGCGATGGGTGAAACAAAGGAGGGATCGTTTTAGAACAAGGCTGGTGGGGCCTAGATTCCATGCCGCCGTTTCAGAAGGTGCCTAGGGAGACCGCAGACTGGGCTGTTGCAAATGGAGGGAATCCGTACTCCGTAGTGAGACACGCACAACAAGGGAAGCAACCACCACCTGGCACAAGAATATTGCGGATTGATTGTGAACTAAGCCACACCGTTGCACGGATGGCTTTGCTGGCAGATGTGCCTGAGCGGCAGTTGTGGACTCATTTGATTCAACCCAGACCTTTGAAAACGATCCCCCCCCCCCCGAACCCCACAAAGAATCTAAAGGGAGGACGGTCGACTTGGGGAACCCTCCCCCATGGTAGTTCTACAAATGCCGGCAAATTCTTGGTGACCAAACCAAAGGCCGCCTCCCGCGGAAAAGGTTCCAAGAACCTTTCTAGCAGTCCTAGACCCTGCCTTTCAAGGCGGCTCATGTCGCCCATGTTCACACATGTAAACCAGCAAGCTGCGTGCATCCCGAACAAAGGACTTCGATCACTGCTTCCCTTTCCCATCTTTCGGGAAGCCCGCCTGAGGCTTCAGACAAAAGAACGCGACCTTCCAACCACCCCGTCTCGCTCGCGCCTTCATGGGCTCATGCTCAAGCCCCGGAGGGGCGGACAACGGAGCCATTGGAAAATCGAGACGTGAATGGATTTCCAGCGCGCCACGCCCGACGCACGGAGAGAGAGAGAACGTTACGAGACGGTTCGGGTGTGGCGCACGGAAAGCCTCAAGACAGAGGCGTCGTCGTATGAAGCTATTCGGCCCAGAGAGGGTGACAAAGGCCGAGGCTCGAGCCAAAAAGTATTTGCAAATGCGAGTGGCTGACGCTCCTAGCACTAATTACTCCCTCCCCCCCCCCCGCAACCACACACCGCAAACTTCTCGTTCTGTCCGATGTCTGTCTTTCCAGAAGGTGTCTTAGTCGTGTGGTGTGTTTGTGTTCTTTCGTTGTGGACCTTGGTGCAAGGGAGTTGTGTTATCACAGAGAATGTTTAAACGTGGAAGCTGGGCTGGTAGCCTAAAAAAGTATAAAGTCCCGAAGCCAAGTGAGACCCGCAAACCAGCGGGTGCGGATGCAAGCTAAGGTCGGACATGCGGAACTCCGCTTTTTGTTAGGGGAAGGTCCCCTGCGGACAAAGTTGACGAGAAGTCTAGCAAGCAAATCATGCAACTCTCTTGGTCCTGCCAAGGCGACCTGAAAGCTGACATGAAGCATAGTAGAACTCTGGCACACAATGTGGCCCTGGTCCGAGCATGTCCGAGCATGTCCGAGCCAAAGGGGATGGTGACTGGTGGCACCAGCTCAAATCTTTGCTCTCTTCGGCGATGTTCACAGTGGAAGTTCCGATGCCTCTAAATATCCTCTAAATGGGCGACTCATGGGTCGGTGATTCATTGCGATTCACCAATCCAAACTTTCAACAGCGGGTTGAGTGGCTCCCCCATATCGTGAGCCCCAAGTGACTATAGACCAATTTGACCACACCTCACATGACCAGCAAACAAAATCAGATACGTCCCCAACTAGGACCTGGAAAATTGGATGCCACTCTTGTTTTCTGGTGGTACTTTTAGGGGTCCACTCACTTTCTCGTCCTCCCCAAGCCAGTCGACTGCCATGGCTGCGCTGTTCGCATGGGATGTCTCCATCATGGCTCCCTTGCGATGGTCTAAAGTCCCTAAGGAGTTCACAACTCATGACCACCCCCACCAACCCCAACCCCAAGAGCCTATTCACCATTGGACCATGGCATGACCGAAACTCTTGCCTGCGTCCTCGAAGATCGTAGAAGAAGGCGGCTGCCCCTTAACCGAGAGCTGAATGTGGCCATCGGAAATAAAGGCACACCCCGTTGGGTTATGTAGGTAGCTAGTGTTTCAGGCAAATGCACTACTCAGTTGCCAAAGAAAGGTTCATCTTTTTGGAAATTGAGCAAAAAGTGGAACCCAAAAGGTCAAAAAGTTGGCTGGGGCAAGTGAGACAAGCGGAAGAAAACCTGGTTTATTTGTCGCGTTGAGAAACGTCAAAGGGAAAAACCCAAAGCAAAGCCGATTTGAAAGGGCAACTCGGCAGCCCACTGAACTCAAAATGGAACCAATGGGCCTGGAACCCGCCGATTGCAACTCAGGCAATCAGGTGACATGGCAACTTTGCAAGTGATAAAAAAGCGCGTGAATTCGTTGGGGTACCTCTGTGTCAGGGTGAATGACAACAATTAATAAATATTCCGCTTGCTTAAGTCCCCTGCGAAAAGCTAACTAGCAAATATGTCCAGTACGAGTAGTGCTAGACTGTTTTTTAAACCAACAGGGGAACATAAACAAAGTCTGAGACAAATGGAACATCGATCACCAACCTGGCTAAACAAGGTCGCACCCGGTTTGGCGGATTGGCACGCTCGCGATCCATCCGACGTTTGATCTTTCGCGGCCCCAAGAGGACTTGGATTCCTTTGACTTTCCAACCCACACCCGGGATCGCAGTTCTTTGATCTCTGCAGATGCCAGCCACCAAACTTGAAAAGCTTTCTGAAGATTTTGAAGATACACGGATTGTGCGGATGCGCAAAGGTCTAGGTATATCTTCCCAATGAACCCCAGCTTGGCCCATAGCTGGGATACGCAGAAAACAACATCATTTGACGCTGTCTCATATTTAATCTACCCAAACAAAATACAGTAGATTTGATGGAGACCCCAGCTATGGGTGTGTCTCAAAAGGACTTGAACCCTCCAAATGGTTGCTTTCCCTTGCAACCAACCCCAAAAGGTAGAGCGCACAGCCAAAAAACCAGCAGAAGGCTCACTCGGACCCGCCCTCTTTTCGGAGTGTTTGTGCCGCGTCTTTAAGGGGATCCCGGCCCAACAAAGGCCCATTTCCACTAAAACTCCCAGCCCCAATTTTGAAACCATAAGCCCAAATCTCTTCGGACAAGCATCTCTGAAGGGAAGGAGTGAAGAAAGAGCACGGGGAGCCAATCCAAGGCATGATGAACATGCTGTGAACAAGCGTTGCTGATCAGGTTGGTTGAAAGGGACACAAAAGGAACAACCGCCAAATTGAAATGGGCCAATGAACAATAGGTGGCCGAATGCTGACTGCTTTGTCAAGTTCCCAATCGGTGGTTGGGACATGGTTGAGCACGGCAGCTCATTTCACCTGTAGCAAAAACACAACATGCTGATCAGGATGCACCTTCCAATTCAATCTGGCCCCTTAGAGAAGAAAGTTGGGGATCCAGGCCTCCAAAAAATTACTTCGCTTCAAGCAATCCCCACCCTCCACACTCACGAGCTTACGACCATGAACACGGTTGTGTGAATTCAAGCGTGGTTTTCGAGTGGCTTGGGGCCTATGACTGCTCAACAAGCTTTGCCTTGAGAGCCTTATCCACCTGTCTGTGTGTCAAACTCCACCTGTCTGCGAGCCGATCTCGAGAACTCAAACATCGGTTCTAACAAAAGCCAAGCCCCTTCCAAAAAGAAACCCGGCGGGGGATTAAACGAAGTGGATTATTCACAACGCATCACCCTTTCCGAGCCTCAGGGTACACTCAAAACACGAAGGCGCCAACATGAAGTGTAAACCCAACTGGACATTAAGCAAAACCAGACTGCCGAGCTGCTCTGGCGGGATACTGCCGGGAGCCGAGCGAATACTGGCGAGCCGCTCCGGCTCGACACTGGCCGGATGCTAGGATCCACCGGCAAGGGATACTCAGCGGAATACTTGCCGGGATCCACTGGCGAGCTACTCTGGGATACTCAGCGATCCACTGGCGCTCTGGTGGGATGCTCGGCGGGATCCACTGGCGAGCTACTCTGGCGGGATACTTGGCGGGATCCACTGGCGAGCTACTCTGGAACTCAGCGGGCTGGTCTGGGGTGGGATGCTCGGCGGGATGCGCTTGCGAGCCGCTCTGGCGGGACACTCGGCGGGATCCAGTGCCGAGCAGCTCTGGCGGGAGAGCCGCTCTGGCGGGATACTCGGCGGGATCCACTGGCGAGCCGCTCTGGCGGGATACTCGGCCGGATCCACTGGCGAGCTGCTCTGGCGGGATTCTGGGAGGGATCCACTGGCGAGCAGCTCTGGCGGGCTACTGGGCGGGATCCACTGGCGAGCTGCTGTGGCGGGATACTCGGCAGGATCCACTGGCGAGCTGCTCTGGCGGGATACTGGGTGGGGGCGTGGTGTAGAAGCATCGCAAACGCAGATTCCAACATAAAATCTAACAACCCCTTTCTGTCGGGTGGGGAACAACCCCTTCCTGCCGGGTGGGGAAAAACAGACCGAGAAAGCGCGTGTGCTCGACTCGACAAAGTGGCTACGGGACATGGTCTCAGAAAGAACCCCTTGCTGTGAAGCAAAAGTGGGATACCTATGACTTGTCACCTTCACGGAGGATGCCCTTGCCCGGAAGAGGCACCCCGCCTGGCAAGCAGGAGCCGCGGCAGCCACAGCGACAGCGCCTGCGTGACATTGAACTGCCACAAACAACCCGTTCAACGTCTTCTAGTAGACGGGTTCCGATCTTGCGTAAGCGGCCAAAGGAGAATGTGAAAGCAAATTGACAGTGGCTGATGTGCTGTTTGCAACTGATTTCAAAAGGGAATGGTGCCCGCTGGTGGAAACTCTGTCTTGGTCTTGAGGCATGTGTGCCTGTAGTTCAAACTGAGCATTACTTGTGCAATTCTATGATTTGTTGGTGGACGTCAAGCAACATGAAAGCCAATATATGGAAGGCTTAGCCCAAGGGGTTTCCCAGTTGAAGTCAGGGGCCGCCGCCATGGGTATCGCTCGAAAGGCTCCATGAGGAAGAGCCGAGCGCTTTCGGAGTTGCAGAAGAGGTACCCCGAGAGAAGAGGAAGCTGAGCGAGCTGCCGTTGCAGTGCGAGCCGAAATACAAAGGCTGAACAAGGGATGACTGGTGGGTGGCGAATAGAGTCCTTTCGGAAGGCAAAATGAGTGAGTGACTCATTGATTTGCGCAGAAAAGTTCAGAGCTCGTCCCTACATTATGCAGCAATCCTTTCGCGTGAAGATCTCACCGGAAAGGCTTTTTCGCTCGATCGACGCTCGATCTGGCGACTTGGGACTTTTGGCTTCCGGCCTCTCGGCATAGCCTTCACACCACAGAATCAAAAGGCCGATTCGCTCAGAACATGGAGCTCTCGGAAGGCCTCCGTAAGCAAGCTGCTCGCCAGGGGTCGTTCTTCTTGCCTAAAGCAACATGGGCTTCGCCCAAAAAGCTTTTAAGGAAATCCTTTTTGTTTTCTTTGGGTTTTTTTTCCCGCCGGGTGAAGCCTCATTTCTTCTTTCAATAGTCCATCATCTAACTCGGAACAGCAAGCATAGATTTCAGGTTCTGCTTCATATGTAGTCTACCCTGGACCCCAGCCAACCCTGTAGCCTTCAAACCAAATGCCCAGGTGTCCAAGTACTTATGGGCCAAACAGGTGTCAAAGTGGAGACTGAGCAAATCCCGTTTTGTGCAAAAACGGCCCCTCCTCGCAGGCGAAGCCGCCGCGCGGAGCGCTTCGCCGCGGAGGCGCGGGCACCGGCGCCGGCGCTGGCCGTTGCGGCGC